GGGTGGATCGAGCAAAAATAATTTTAATGTTACTTGTCGTTATTGTAAACGAACAGGACATGTTTTGGAGAATTGTTTATTCTTGGCATCCAAAAATTCGGGAAACCAGAGGTCATCTTTCCAGAAGGGCGCGGGGAAAGATGCATTCACTCAGCGTCCGATAACAATGGTTCAGGAAGCGGAATTGAGCGACGACTCCCTGTAATTTCTGTACAGTTTAAAAATAACGATGATATTCCGTTTTTAAAAATTGGATATAATAAAAATAAACGAGAAATTAAATTGATGCTTGATTCAGGCGCGTCACCAAATCTAATTAAGAATAAATTCGTTGAAGATAATATTTTTATTGATGAATCCAATATCATAGAATTACACGGTATTTCAAAAATTCCTGTATTTACTCTCGGCAGTATCAATATGGACGTTTTGGGGAAAGTAGCATTATTTCATGTCGTACCCGATGACATGCACATTCCTTACGCGGGGTTATTGGGCTCTAACTTCTTTAAAACCGCGGGGGCGAAAATTGATTATGAGAATCGTTATTTGGAAATTAATGGGAAGAAATACCCTTTTGAACAGATTGATTATGTTGAAGATAATGTTCGATACATTGCTCCTCGCAGTGAGTCAGCATTCTTCATTAGAATTAAAAATAAGGAAGTTGAAGAGGGCTACGTCCCTCGATTAAAAATTTGCAAAGGTGTGTATGCAGGAGATTGTTTGGTGCGTAATCACCAGGGCCGTGCATACATGCGTGTTTATAATACCACATATGAAAAAGTTGGAATTAAAATACCAACTTTAACAATACATGAATGTGAAAGTGTACTTGAACCAATTGATCGGGATAATCAACTTGATGATGATAAGCGTAGTTATTCTGATGTTGTGAAAAAAATTGTTTCTCACGTAGGAGAAATTGAAAATAAAGATAGATTTAAAAAAATTATCGAATTATTAAGATTGGACCATTTAGGAGGAAAAGAGAAAAAACATGTTGAAAAATTGATAAAAAAATATTCTGACAGGTTTCACATACCTGGTGAACCTCTTGGATCGACTAATGTTTATAAACATAGAATTCCTGTAAATTCAGATCTTGCTATTTCATCTAAACAATACAGGTTACCTCACTCTACTAAAGAAGAGGTTGATAAACAAATTAAAGAACTTTATGAAACAGGAATAATTAAGCCATCAGAATCCCCATATAATAGTCCTGTATGGGTTGTTCCAAAGAAACCCGATTCTAAGGGTAATAAACGATGGCGTGTTGTCATCGATTTTCGTCAATTGAATGAAAAAACGATTACAGATGCTTATCCTCTCCCTAATATCACTGATATTTTTGATCAATTGGGGGAATCTGTATACTTTTCTGTATTTGATCTGGCTTCTGGATATCATCAAATTAAGATGCATCCAGAAGACAGCTATAAAACTGCTTTTTCTACTCCGAAAGGTCATTGGGAATTTAACCGAATGCCTTTTGGTTTAAAAAATGCACCAGCAACGTTCCAACGATTAATGGATACGGTTTTGTCTGGATTGCAGGGTACGTCAATGTTTGTTTACCTTGACGATGTTATTGTTTTTGCGAAAGATTTAAAAGAGCATGAAGAACGTATTGAAGCACTAATGCAACGTTTAAGAAAAGCGAATCTCCAATTACAACCGGACAAATGCGAATTTTTGCGTCCGGAAGTAAATTATTTGGGTCATATTATCAGTGACGAAGGTTTGAAACCTGACCCTTCAAAGTTAGACGCGGTTAAAAATTTTCCAAAGCCTAAAAAACAAAAAAATATTCGTTCTTTTCTCGGATTAACCGGATATTATAGGCGTTTTATTAAAAAATTTTCAAAAATTGCAAAACCACTTTCAAGATTGCTTGAAAATGATGTAGAGTTTGATTGGTCCCCAGAAGTTGAAAAAGCTTTTCAAACTCTCAAGGAAGCTCTATGTACAGCTCCTATTTTGCAGTACCCAGATTTTTCAAAACCCTTTATAATTACGACTGATGCTTCTGGTCTAGCTATTGGCGCAGTTCTTTCGCAGGGGGAAATAGGTAAAGATAAACCTATTGCCTATTACTCTCGAGTCCTAAGAGGTGCCGAATTTCGCTATGACACTTATGAAAAAGAAGCATTAGCAATACTAGAGGGAGTGAGAAATTTTAGACCATATGTTTATGGTCATAAATTCACTGTGGTTACTGATCATAAACCATTGGTTTGGTTTAGGACTGCTAAGGAAGTTAATACACGAATTTTAAAATGGAGATTAAAATTAGCAGAATATGATTATGATGTCGTGTATAAACCGGGAAAAATTAATTTAAATGCGGATGCATTATCACGTAATCCGGTTGAAACGGTCAATGTCATTACTCGCGCTCAAAAGAAAAGGGCTGAGGAACCGCTCAGTCCTGAGTTGCAAGAAATTTTTGATATTTTGAATGAATCAGATGACGAAAAAATAATTAATAAAAATGTTTCAAAAAATGGTAAAATTCCAAAGAAACTAAAGGGTGAAATTCCCAATATTTTGAACGGTAAAATTCCGGCTTATTATGAGGGTGAAATTCCCAATATTTTGAACGGTGAAATTCCGGCTTATTATGAGGGTGAAATTCCCAAAATTTCAGTAAAAGGTGAAATTCCTAATAAATTTAGTGGTGAAATTCCATTTTGCTCTTCAACAATAAAAAGAAAAAGGGGTAGACCACCAAAGCTTGTATTGGATGTTAATGATGGAATTAATTATGATAAAAAAAAAGAAAACTCTTTGTCTTTAAGAGTAAACAATTCATGTGATGAAACGGAAACAGATGATTCGGACTCTAGATCTGAACATTCTGAAATTGAAGAATTAAAAAAAAATAAATCTCCCATTATTATTTCCAAAGAATTAATTATTTATCGTAAAGATAATATTCTATATTTCCTCTCAGATGATGGTGAACCTGTTGATGAAGGTGCTAAAGAATTTAAAAAATTAAATAAATTACCCACCATTAAAACCACACGTTTAGGTGGGATTTATAAACAAAGAATTGGCAAAAATTGCCATTTTGCCGCTATTATTCAAGGATCTAGTGGGGAATCTAATCTCACAGTAAAAAAATATTTTTGCGAAAGTTTAAACAATCTGAAAGAACTTTTGAAGAAAGATAAAATTGAAACTATTTCAATTGCATATTCTAAATATGTAAATAATATTCCATGGTCTGAAATTCTTATTTCAATTGAGGAAACATTCATAAATGAAAATATCAAAGTTATTATTTGTCTTGGTACGGTAAAATATGTACCTGTTGAAAAACGAAATGCAATTTTTTATGAGATGCACTCTTCACCTATTGGAGGTCATAAAGGGGTATCAAAAACATTTAATCGTATAAAAAATAGTTATTATTGGGAAAATTTGAAGAAAGATGTTCAAAATCGTATTCAACAATGCGCGGAGTGTCAATTAAAAAAATTAGTCCGCGTTAAAACTAAACAACCGATGTTAATTACAGATACACCTGGCACGGTTTTCGATAAAATTGCGATGGATATTGTAGGTCCTTTGCCCAAAACAGTAAATAATAATGAGTGTATTTTAACTATTCAAGATCAATTGTCTAAATATTCAATGGCAATTCCATTGGAGAATCAAAGAGCGGAGACAATAGCGGATGCTTTCATTAAACGTTTCATTTGCGTCTTCGGCTCTCCGAAAGTTTGTTTAACTGATCAAGGTCGAAATTTTATAAGCGCCATGATGCGAAGAATTAATAAGCGATTTCGAATAAAAAAATTACAAACTACTGCATTCCATCCACAATCGAATGGATCGTTGGAGCGTTCACACCATGTATTGGGCGAATACTTAAAACAGTATGCCACTGTGGATTCAGAATGGGATCAATGGATTGATCTTGCTATGTTGTCTTACAATACGTGTGTTCATGAAGGTACCAAATTTACTCCATACGAATTGGTATTCGGTAAAACGGCTCGGCTTCCTTCCGAAGAACCGTTACATGAACTTGATAAATTGCCTACTTATGATAATTATATTGAAAATCTGGTAAAACGATTATCACAGACTAGAAAATTGGCATATGAAAATTTGATTAATTCCAAATATAGATCAAAGCATTATTATGATCAAAAGATCAACCCTGTGAATTTTCAAGAGGGTGATAATGTCTTTTTATTAAGTGGACCAAGACCAGGAAAATTAGGTGACCAATATGATGGTCCTTTCAAAGTTTTAGAAATTCTGCCAGATGGAAATGTCAAAATTGCAATAAAAAACAAGTTTAAAATTGTTCATCCAAATAGATTGAAAATATCAAAAATGATTGACAGTAGATATAATGATAAAAAGAAAATCAAGAAAAAACAAAGAAAAGATGGATCTAGTGATTCCGATTCTGATTATACACCATAAAGAAAACATTCTTAATTTATGTTTTATTTGTGTAAGGTTATAAATTAATTCCTTTTATTCTTATTCACAGAAAAGATGATTCTTTTAAAGATTATGATACTGATAGTAATGTGGAATTCAGTGTCTGCAATAATTGGGTACGACTGTGGTAGTAATGCGCTCAATGTTACGACCATATCCTTACTCGATATCGATGATTGCGATATCGAGGATGAAGAGGTAACGACCTCTAAAACACATATTTATATGATACAATTGGACAAATATACTCATACAAGAGTACTTCAATGTAAAATTGAAGTAAGTCGTACTGTCTACCATTGTGGCATGCACTCCCATGTCTCAATTGTTGACAATGCACATGCTGAATATATTCAGTATATCTCAGAAGATGCGTGCAGGGTTGCCCATGACCATGGCACCATAACAATCGGTAATACTTTAATTACTGGACTTCAACCCAACACAACAACCACTAGAAGTGTCACTTTAGCAGGTACTGTAAACAATGACGGTCGTTGTGATGGAGTCCAATATTCGGACCCTTTTGATTCATACAAAAACGTCGTTGTATTGGGTGTTGTTCGAATCTCACTGAGATCAGATATGGCTAGAGTAGAGGTAGATAATGGAAAAATTTACCTATCCTCCGGTCATGCTTATAGGTTAAGAGACAATAAATGTATCGATCCAATTGGAGGATATTCATTCTGGGAAACATTACCCTCAACATCTCATTGTGAAACAGGTTTATTTTCTATTCTTCATAAAGGCCTGGTAAATAAAATAACCTCAAGAGATGATACTTTATATTCTGTCAATGTAAAGGAAGTTAGCTTCACTTTTACGAAACAAGGTGTTGATAACGCGTGCGGTTTGAATCTAATAAAGACGGAACATCCGAAAATTTTCATCATTGAAACAAGCAATATTGCAGATTTTTCACGAAATGTTGCGGTTTCATTAAATACCGACAATATGGATTTACTTATGTATGTAAATGCAAAATTTGTTTATGTAGAAAGATATATTAGATCTCAAGTGCATGGATTGTACAGAGATGTCTTGCGCCACCAATGTAATCTGGAACGAGAGATTTTGAGAAATAGCTTGGCAATTGCATCGACTATGCCTGATGAATTTGCATTTAGATTTATGAAAGGTCCAGGTTACATGGCGGTGTTAGCTGGTGAAGTTATTCACTTAGTTCAATGTGTACCAGTAGAATTGAAAGTAAGGAAAACAGAAGAATGTTATAATCGTCTACCAGTACAACGAGGAAATGAGAGCGTTTTCCTGACACCACGTACCCATGTTGTTGTAACACAGGCGACACAAATCCCTTGTAATTCTCCATTACTTCAGTTCTATCGTCTTGCTGATACTTGGTATAAATTGATGCCACACGCAATTGAAACGCTGCCACCAATCCAAATCAAACCCAACGTTAAGGTGACATGGAAATACCAAAATCCTAGTCATTTAGCAACCAGCGGGATATATAGTGAAGAAGAACTGGAGAAAATGCGCGATCGCATTATGTTCCCGATGGAGAACACAGCAGTTCTCAACCAGATCGCCCAAAAAGTCTCAAGTAATGGGTCTCACTACGCATCACCATCGATGTTCAACATTTTCGATGAGAATGCTTTGGAAAAACTGGCTGAAAGTACGTGGAAGAAGACATGGGGCCGATTTATCAGTTTCGGTTCCATCAGCGCTGGATTCATCGGAGTTTTCATGCTGATTCGAATATTGAAACTCCTCGTGGATACCATTATCCACGGTTATACGCTTCACATGGTTTATGGATGGTCTATCCATTTGTTAGGAGCAATTTGGGATTCTGTTACGAATCTACTACTGCATATGGCTAAGCAGGCAAGAAATCCAGAGCGCAAGGACGTTGAGTTGGGACTTATCGAAGCTTCTGCTCCAGCAAGCGATGGAGCAACTGAGAAGATTTATCCACACATTGAGAAACCTCTCAATGATAGTGAAGTAAGACACTTCGTTTGACCCTGAAGAAGGAAGACCACGACAGCTGCATTACTGTGTTACACAACAACAACATCCTCTATTCTGATGAAAGGCTCTCAACTTCAAGTCTACGAAATTTTGTAATTAGACAAGTAAGATTTAAAGACTGTCTCTTATTAGATAGAAATAAGATTATTTCATTTTTTTTTATTACGTCGTTCTCGTTCTCTAATGTCACTCGTACTTCCGTCTAACTGCGGGGGTGTGACATCCGTCAGAAAATTCATTTAAATTCATTTTCTTACGTCGTCATTCAATTATCTCAGTGATAGAAGCGACTTTTGAAACCCAAATTATCTTCTGTGACCGGGGAAAGTGACCCCCTCGATGTTGGGAATATTTCGGCTGCACACATCTGTGAACGATAAAAATGTTCCCAACGTCGAGTTTCTCCTAGATTAAGGAGATATCAGCTGTGCAATATCAGATGCACTGTAAACATTTGAGTCTAGTCTCGTCTCCTTAGTCATGCACTTTCCACGTGTGACCATAAATTTCAATAAACACTGGACTCTTGAACCGGAAAACTGTTGATAACAAATTCTAAGCGTGGGTCCAAATTTTGTAACTCCCACGACAAATATTTGATATAAAAATAGAGTAACGATTTCGTTTCCCACATGGAGGAAATGACATAAACATTGACGAACATGTGACACAAAAATAGTAAAATGCATCATACAACAGAATGATTCTTTTATGAATAATTTTCCATTTCGGATATTAATTAAACTATCATAATTGTTTAAGAAATATTATCAACGTGGAAAACCACAAAATAATTAAAGTTTAAACAATATTTTTATGTCATTGAATTATTATTGAATTACTATTAGATTACTATTTTTCTTCAATGAATTATAATTTATCATAAAATTTCATGAAATTTATCTGAATTGTTTCAAAAAAATTAAATAACAAAGATGTTAACGCTAAGTTGAAAATAAGAGATAAAAGAGAATTGTGGAGGGAATATATGGGCATTCCTAAAACAATTTTCATTGGTTGTTGGGGAATAGAAAAGACCGCCTACACCCCAAAAACATCTTCATGTAGAGAGATGGAGTTGATCTCGAAACAAGGAGATTTCAAACCACTGGAGTGGGAAATTTCGGCTAGAGTCATTTGTAATTGGTCCCCGAAATTTCCCTATGCATTCTGAGGACACACCCTCCTAGATAAACTATAAAGACTTGTGCGCGATAGCAGCACGACAGTTACAGTTCCGATTGCATTTTGTAATCATCGCTACAGTAGTAGTAGTAGCTCATATCTGAGAGTTAGTATACTCCAGTTTCTTTTGGACACGGTTCCAATTTTATTATCGACCTATTAAGGCGATATTTTGGGTTTTTCGCGACCTTTAATTTTCATATAGTTTTGGATGACTATTTAATTTCCGTTTTAGTCTTTCGTAACTAAATTATTTTCTGAAATCCCAAGTCTTGTGACATTTTTAATTATTTGATTCATTTAAATAAAGAATTTAATCCAACGTCTTAAATTCAGTGCGGCATTACTTTTAACCACATACAAAATACTTTACGACTGAAAGCAGAGCAGTGAATGTAAGTCGAATGTTGTAGTTATACTTTTCTACTTGTTTTGTTAAAATATAGACTCTATTGAGTCACTTTAAAGTTATTCAAAATTCTTTTCATTTTACTCCAAGTGAACCTTTCCAACCTTTGATTCCAAATACTTTTGGGGTTTAGAAAATTGAAGTAAAAGGGGACCTTTGTAAATGGGTTTTGTGCTTGAATTCTATTCCTTAATTTCGAGACGATCTTTGAATTTAATCTTGTTTCTTTGGTTCAGTATATTGAATTTTAATTTAATAAAGTTGTGTCAAGTAACCCATTCTTGACGTAACATCATTAATAATTCCGAAATTTCTTTCCACGTTGTAAGATGACAATGGATGTCAATTTGATTTTTAGCTTTGCCCGTAATTTTTCTTGCTGATTTGTGGCAATGTCCATTGCTGCATCAACTCCTTTAATAAAACTACGAATTTCGTAACGATTACCATCAAATTGTTCTGGCAATAATTTAATTAAGAGTTCTGTCGATAATTTTGGAATCTCAATAGTTGGGAGAATATCTTGTGGATTGCTTTGACCCATTGGTTCTTGTTTATTGTTAGGATTTTGAGCCATTGTAGATTTTTTTAAAAGGAAAAGGAAAAAAGAAGGATATGAATTGTCAGAAGAAGAACCAAAATATCAGTACTTACGGTCACTGCAGATAGTTCCCACAAACGGTGCCGGAGTTGCTAAGTCCAGGAGTATCAACCACAGTTTAGTCACTTATTCTCGTGATGCCGCCTGATTGTAGTGTTGTAGTCCGTTCTCCAAATTCAACAACTTGAGAGTTGTCACTTGAGCTTCAGTATGAATATAAATTCGCAGTCGCACTGTTGCAGAAGTGTTGGACAATCGCGATCCTCGTCGCCAAATTTTTGTTGGATTCCGGATTGAGCAATAAGTTTCTTCAATTTAAATAAGAAATCTTTATTTTAAGACTCAATACAAATACATTATGGGATAATTTGGATATCTTCCTGCATCGATGTTACTAGTTCTACGGTTGGAATACTTATATGCTAGTTGAAGTACAAAGAGTTTTTAGGAAGTGCTCGGAGGGTAGATAGTAAGGATTGGAGTGACTGGAGGGAGAAGGGCCCAAGGTGGTTGATTGGTTAACTAGATGAGGGATGAGCCATGAGGGCTGGACTTGGAGAGGTAAGAAGGAGGTACATACTGGAGAGGGTTTGCAGAGAGAGGTATCAGGGAAATACCGGATTAAGGATTATATTGCTGGGGTTTTTGGAAAAGTGTACAATTAGGGGTCTGAGGTACTGGGAAAGTACCGAGGAGGCAATTAAATAATTCCAAAGGTTTTGGGATTAAAGGATATAATAAACATTTTCGGTCTTTGGAGTTTTCGGGATTAAATAATAAAACCGTAATAAAATATTTAAGTAAAAGGAATGAATGGAGACATTTGATGAATGCCTGGGGAAGAACACAGTTTCGGGAAAATATATCTGGAAAAATAGCGGTCATACAACACGACTTCATAATATTTTTTATTCCACTCAGTTCACTGGGGGTTGTTTATACACTGCCCACGCATCACAATAAAATTTATTCACATAAAACACTGAAACAATCCTGAATGTCGACGTGAATAATGTTGTTTATGAATCGTCACTCCGAAAACTGACGAAATGTCCAACTGTGCCGGCACAGCAAATCCCAACTTCGCATCGACCAATGATCGTGCAGAACCCCATATTCCCCATTCCTTTCCCAACTTCCGGTTCCTGCTCGTGTTGAACCAGCCGGTGTGATGGAAAGTTCATAAACAATCGATGAAAATGGGAGGTAAGTGTTCTCTTGTATTTTTTTAATATCTATTTCATTAGTTTGTCATCTTTCGATGACATCGCGAATAGATATAGATGAAATTTTTTTTGTATAGCCATGTCTGAATGTGACAATTTGGGTTTCCAGTGCTATATTTTTAGACATTGAGACATACATACGGTAAAATTGAGTAGTTCCTGAGACAACAATTTGTTTAAATTTCGTTTTTCCTCAATATCTCGTTTACTACTGCACCAGACGTGTGAAAAATATCAATGGAAAAACTAACAGAAATTCAGTCGAATTTCTATTGGAATTCTGTCAAAATCCTATTGGCATTCTATTAGAATTCTATTGAATAATTCTATTGGTTTTTCGGCGCCATTTCTATACAATGTAAGTATTAGAAAAGTCAGTAGATTTTTTTTTTCTACAAGAATTCTTGGGTATGAATTTTTTTTCCTTTTCTTGGGTTTTAGTATGAGAAACAAATGAAAAAACAGCGGAAAAAACTTCCAAAATTTACGCACAAGAATTTCATAGAAAAATCAAAATTCATTGACTTCTCCATCAAATATCTCCTATAGAAATAGCGCAAAAAACAAATGGAATTTTTCAATAGAATTCTAATAAAATTGCAATAGAATTTTTATAAAATTCCAATAGAAATTCAATAGAAATTCAATAGAATTTCAATAGAAATTGGATAGAAATTATCTTGGTTTTGCTATTGAATTTTTTCATACATGCAATTTTATTTATTTTTTTTTTCAAAATTCGGCTCAATGGCTTCTATCTGCATCAATAAAAAATATACATCTTAGAAAATTTACGCAAAAAAATTTCATATACAAAGGTAGAAAATTGATACACAAGAATTTCATAGAAAAATTAAAATTCATTGACTTTCCTATCAAATATCTTCTATAGAAATAGCATAAAAAACAAATGAAATTTTCCTATAAAATTATAATAAAATTTCAACAGAATTGTTATAGAATTCCAATTGAAATTCAATACAATTTCAATAGAAATTCAATAGAATTTATATTATATTCGGAGTCATTTCACCCACACAATCCAGTTACCTTCACCCCTTCTACACCCATCTACCTTCTCCGCCCAAAAAAATGTTGAGAGCGAAAAAAGTTTAGGGTCATTTTACTCTCACCCCCCCCCCCCCCC